AATAGAGTCATAGCTTTTAATTTTCCTCTTAATTACTGCATCATTCAATGGACTACTAACGATTCTTTTCGAAAATTTCGAGATTTACTTTAAAGTCCACTTTAGATACCTTAAAAAGCACACTTTATCCTATCTGGTAACAGTCTATAACTTTTTTGATTCAATCGACTAGCCTCAGTTATCGTCATTACTATTAGTATTATACATATAATCTAATTGTGGGGGAATTAGACACAAGCTTAGATGTTACATAGTTTCCTAAACACTTTCAGTATTAACATATCATAACTATTGGATATCCAGATTTCTTTAAGCTAAAGGTCTCCAGATTATCAGTTTTATACAGTGTATGCTTGAGTAATCTGCTAACGTTAAAGAAGTCTTAACTCTGGATTGTTTGGAATATCTAAATCTATAAAAAATTCAATACTGACAAATGTAAGCAATTTAAAGGATGATTAATTAGAACAGTTATAAATCTCATAAATTACTGTTTTGTATCTATGACTGACTTCAAAAGCCAACCTAACAATTACTAAAATGACGAATTAGATACCTATATTTTGATTCAGAGAGTAGATTTTTAAAAAAATTATAAAAGCGTAGCTGGGATAACTCTAAAGTCCACCCTAGCAACTGATGAGACAGCCAATTCTTTTACATTATGGAAAGGTACTTTTCAGACAAATACCGAAGCCTGACTGGTCATTTCAGCAGTTGCTAGGGTTTAAAGGTCACTATAGCAACGATCGAAATGACCAATTAAATTTTTTCATTTCACTTGGAAAGAGATTTTCATAAAATGGAGAAGCCTAATTGCTTATTCCAGTTGTTGATGGGGTGGACTTTAAAGTCACCCATCTATTACAGTAGTTGTTAGGCTGACTTTTTAATCCACTTGTGTTTATCTAGTGACTTTAAAGGCCACCCTGACAACTGCTAAATTTATCCCCATTAAGGCTTGATAATTTGCCTGGGAAAGTACTTTTCCAGGAAATAAATGAATGTAATTGGCTGTTTTATCACCTTTGCTAGAGGGCCTTTATAGTCACCCTTAAAGGATGCCTTGTGATTTGCTAATCAATCAGAATACCGTCTATTGGCCAACTCAAGGTCACTTCTATGGTCACTGATGCCAATGTTGAATGATGTCCCATATTCGCTGTTTTTCCGTCGATTTGTTGATTTTGCAGTGGTTGTCAATATTCAATGAATTGTTCTGAACCATGCTGTAGTTGGCCAGAAATAATAAACAACAAGGAACTCTGGCTGGCCCCGAAACGAACCAACCAAGAAGCTATCGCTCAACAGATATGCACTGGAAGGAAGTGGAAATGGCTTGGATTGGGCATACACTGAGAGGGCCGACTGAGGACATCACGCGTCAGGCCAGGGTTTCGAGTGGAACCCCGATGGGAAGCGACGAGTTGGGCGTCCTTGGTGAGGGTGACATGTAGGAGATGGTGCGAGGAAGAAATGAGAGGTTGTGGGCTGTCATGGAGGCAGGTTCAAAAGATTTCAGAGAAGAGAGTGGGATGGAGACGTGCTACTGAAGCCCTATGTTCCATTCGGAATCCAAGGGACAAATAATAGTAATACAATGCTATAGTTATTATAATGGTTTTGTTAATTTCCTCTTTGGCTCACTATTTCTCACATTTCCAATATATTTGGGAACATATCGGTTATATTTTGTGCTTTTCAGTGTATCCATGAATTTATTCATATTATATGGTTGGATTTATGCATTTTCAGGCAAATGAACTATGTCCTTGTCTTCCAGATACATCAAAGTTTAACATTAAAACTACGAGTATGTCACATGTGGTGCTGTTACTTATATTTTCGTTCAAGTCTTACCTAGTTGTTTAAGGAATTGATTCAGATTTTGCCATAACGAGTTTTAATGTATCATTATTCCTTTTGGGAACTGATTTTTGCAGCCTTATCGATTCTCAACATTTATGGCTAGTCCGTTAGCTGCAGATATTCCACAGGGTTTTAAATAAATAAAGCTATACAGGCACTTCTTTATCTCAAGTCAGATGAATTAGGAAGTTCTCAACTTTTAGTACCACCATATTGTTTCTGATTGTACATTTGATACTGAAACAAAAGCTGAGATCACTAGCCAACGGCTGAATTTGGAATTTACAAACCCTGATACATATTTCATGTTATATCTATGTGCAGTGGATGTGAATCAAGAAGTCAAGTTCCTATTGAACACAACTCCTACTGCTTTATGGATATTTCATCTTATATATTAATGTGATTTATAAAGGAAGTTTTTCTCTGGACCTATGATAAGTCTTTATACCTACATGTGCATGTTAAGTTTACGCTTTGCTTCATTGGAAAAGTGTAAACATTTGCATACTACTGAAATCGAATGCAAGAAGTATTTTCGATATTCCATCTAACATATTCATCTCTTTTATTAGAAGAAAGTGAAGTTTGCGTTGTTTACTTTATTATCATGTACATTTTACTGCTGAAACTAGTAAAATTCACAATGCAAATTAACAAAAGTTAATGTCTGTGATGAATACAAAACTAATTTCGTCGCATCTTTGGTTGTTAAGTTTTCGAGTAGGTTGAGGAAATCGTACATGCAGCGTCTCTGTTAACTACTTAGGGGATATATCTACGATTGATCACCTTCGGCTTTCGCTGCTTGAACTCTCTAACTTTATTCAAGAAACCTTGACTATAGACAGAACCCGAATATTCATACATATCTGCTTTCGCGAATTCTAAGCACTTCAATGTGATACCTTCTCATCCTGTTTGCAATCTGGACTGCCTTTCTAGGTCCAAACATGGTGCAGACATTCCATGTCCCCACGTTTACTTTCGCTTTCACCGACAGAAGACACATCGGCCAATTGGCTTGCTGAAGGCAGGCTTTCACCAACTGGTGTCATTTCGCCTCTCCGATTCTAGAGAGGAATAATTTTGTGTTTATTTTTTATATTTTGTTTGTGATTTGAAGTTTCTTTAGCGGTTAGATTTGTTTTACGGGGTAGGGTTGCTAGCCCTATGCCCAACCTACCCTAGTAACTAGTGAAGTAGTTAACCAGGCGAGGTTGTATATATACTTAGCTAACGTAACTATTCAGTTATGCTAACTTCTCATTGACTTAGCCTACCTGTTTAAATAAAATCTAAGCACCTTAGTCAAACAGAAGACATTCATATCCCCTCAAAAGTGTGAAGTACCTGAAAAAGTACTCTTTCTTCGCATTTACTTTCTGAAATTAAGTTCAACAAGTATTCATTTTGTACGCTTCTTCCACCATCACCTCATATCATGACCTTCCTGTAACGGAAAACGGAAAGAAACTAAAAGGATTTGAATGCATTCATTTTGTATACATAGATATATAGCAATACCCACCATTAGGTTGTTCAGTCTTCCTGCAGCTATATGACGAAGCTTGCAAATAGCCTTTTGAACCCTATTATATCTTGCCGATAATTCTACTTCCATGTTCAGTATACCCTACACAATTGTCGGGTGGAGGGCTGGAGGTAATTATTTCATAAGTACCGGGTTCTAAGTTTTTCAAGATAAGTCGAGTTTGCAGTTATATGAGGTGGATTTCACCTACTCTATTGTCACTTATGATTGCAGTTATTGTCAACACGCGCACTTTCAATATTCCAGGTTTCATAGACAGTGTGTCAATAAGAGCCCTGGGGCTAGTTTACTTGATGAGAAATCCACTGTGTATGTTACGTGAAGTTTGGTCAAGAAGCAGAAAAACGCTAACACCTGAATATTAAGAAAATATGTTTTTACTGCATTTGTAAAATTTTACCACTAATAAGCTCAAAAATGTACTCTTTTGTGCGGAATTGCAGCCACAATATCAATGATCCTCAAATAAGTGAAGGTAGTTGCTTAGTATATGGTTATCCATTTAACAATGAAGCCGTTTCTCACAAAATGAAAGAATTGAGGTAATTAATACTGCATAAATTTCCTGAGAAATGCTATTTTTGACCCAATACTATCTCTTATTCATTCTTCGATTTACTGAGTCTCTTGCAAAAGTTATCCAATTGTACTTGAGAAGCATATGCTTGATTTCCTCTGTAGTGCTGAAACGACGCAATTTACCGAACGTAACCTAACTATAATAAAAATCCACGCCAAAACAGTAGGACTTATACATAAGGTGATAATGCGGTACACAAATACAATGTTGATGTGTTTAATGTAATGCATTCAGAAACGTCGATATAACGTGTAAGAAAATCTCATTATTAAATAAAAGTATTGTAAATAAAATTGAGCTGAAAATGACAATTCCCACACTGCTTAGATAAAAAGATGACCATGAATGTTAGCCATTTTGTGTTTAGCTTACGTGACATGGTAGATACCATCAGTGCTTCGGGTGACTATAAGGGCCATCCTAGCAATTGTCGGAAAAGTCAAACAGGTTTCGGTATTTTGCCTAGTAAGTTAGATATGCATAAGATACAAAGCCATAGTTGGTTGGCTTAACAGTTGATAGCATAGCTACTGATGAAACAACTAGTCACTTTTCCCAATTCTGTGAAAATTGTCTTTCCAGTCAAAATACTGCAACCTGATTGGTTATTTTGGTGGATGCTAGGGTGGCCTCTAAAATCGCTCTTTAAAGCCACTCCAGTACTTCCAGCCATCAACTTGAAAGTGCATAAACTTAAAGCGTGATTCAAGGTTGTTACTCGTCCTTGCCATAACTGTGAAGCCAATGGTTGATTTGATTAAATGCCAAAAAATCACTGACATTTTTTAACCAATCAAGTATAGGTCTGATTATAGGATCGAACATAATTTAACTTCAACCAATCATGGAATTAACAGAGAAAAAATTTAGATAGAAAGACATACCGAAATAGCACTTGTCGTGATACATAATGAAATAAATTTGTTCATTTATTTCCCAAATTATTGTTCCTAATATCATCACAACTTTAAGGACTTAAACAAATACGTTTATTCTATGGCTGATCAAAAGTTAACTAAAGCAAAAGTGATTTTCGTGTTAGGTAAGCTTGAAGTGTAAAATTTTTGAAATATGTTAGTGTTTTGAAGTTAATTCATTAAGGCGTTTTGAGTGATGGTAACCATTACCACATTTTAGAACAGTATAGTTTTAGGACAGGCATACATTTGATAGAAGTTTAAATAATCATAATATATGGAATCATCAGAGAGAGTCAGGTTTAAATCCATGCGATTGTGAAGTTGACTTTAGGAAATGACCCTTTGTAGATCCAGTTTCTCTAATGTTCATCAGTCTCCTAAGATGTATTCTTAGATGAACTTTATGCATAAATAAGTGGTATCAGTTTTCAAACCTTTATCAGCCTCATTGAACAACTATATGAAGACGCCACTTGCCAAGTAATTCACAATGGGAAGCTCAGTGATGCTTTAGAAGTGAAGACAGGGGTGAAGCAAGGCTGCCTACTATCACCCGTGATATTCCTGATTGTAGTGGACTGGATCATGCAACAAACAGTGAGGAGCGAGAAGAGGGGGATACGCTGGATGGCAGAAAGGAACCTAGAAGACTTGGATTTCGCCGATGACTTATCTCTAATGTCTTGTCGCACAAACTCGAAGATCTACACGCAGAAAATAACAAGTTGACAGAAGAAGTGATGCAGGGCAGCGAAAATGGGACTTCAAGTGAACGTAGAGAAGACAGAGGTGATGAAGATACCCAACAAACGCCACCAACAACAAAAACTAGCTCCACTCACCATTAACAGGAGAAACTTAAAGCAAGTTGTCTCTTTCACCTACCTACCTAGGAGGCAACATCGCTTCAACTACAGGCACCACAGGCACAGACGAGGATGTCAAAGCCAGACAGGATCGGAAAGACAGCAAGACAGGCGTTCACTAATCTGAAATCAGTATGAAGATCTACTACACTCAGCACAAACATGAACAACATCCAGATTTTCAACACCAATTCAGTCAAGTCAGTGCTTCTATGTGATGGTTAAGAGACTTGGTGCGTTATGACAGGCATTTCCAACAAACTACAGACATTCATCAACAACTGCCTACGCTGGCTCGTTACTGAAGACCAGATGGATTGCCAGAAGTAATAAGCAACAAGGAACTCTGGCTGGCTGGCTGACTGGCTGGCTGTCAACGAACCAACCAAGAAGCTGTCGCTGAACAAATATGCACTGGAAGGAAGTGGAGGTGGATTGGATTGGGCATACGCTGAGAGGGCCGACTAAGGACATCACGCGTCAGGCCAGACTCTCGAGTGGAATCCAAAGGAGAAGTGACGAGTTTGGCGTCCTTGGTGAGGGTGATATGGAGACGATCATGTGAGGAAGAAATGAAAGCTTGTGGGCAGTCGTGGCTCCAGTTCCAAAAGACTGCAGAGAAGAGAGTGAAATGGAGACGTACTACTGAAGCCCTATGTTTCACTAGGAACCCAAGGGAAAAATAATAAAATTATAATAACATGTACACAGAAACAAGCAAAGCTTATAGTGAAGCAGAGTGGTAAAAATGTTGTCATGCTTCTTCATCTACAGAATTTGTAGGATTTTACTTCCTCATGCTTATTTATTTCTTATCTCTCTACTTTATCCTCGTCTAATTCAATTTGCATTTATTCCTTCTTCCTAAACTATTACAGAGTTCAGTTATCTGACTAACAGAACTTGTATATGAAGTTTATGTAAGCAAAGAATCTCGCCATTGTTACGGAGTGTAATTAGTTTAATCCTTTCGAGTTATATAAAGGACTAATTAGGATATCCTTACATTAAGGACATGTATGTCGTAAAAATCAGAGCTATTTCGTGTTTCAGTGCCTTTACATTTGAAATCAGTTGCAACTATACCTGTACATCTCATCTCCAATGATTATATATCTTAACTTTTGTCCTAATATTTTTCCATCTTAGATGATTTATGCATATAATTCGCGTGGTTAACGCAGATTATTGCGTGGACACATTTTACGCGCATATTAGCTGCTTTATCGATGGAAAAAATAATTCAGTTCAGTAATTATCAATATTGACGCTTTAACGTTGATTCTTTGAGTATGAAATAATCTCACTGATTTCACTCATGATATCTGGGTTGTATTCGTCATGCAGTAATATCAGTTGGAGAAATACTGAAAACCTAATAGCAACGGACAGCTGCTTCGTCCTAGTAGGACATAACTGGAGAGGCGAATAAAGTAAAACGTCAAAACAAATACCCAACGAAGGCATTAGATGTAGATCACAGTGTAATGTGAATTGACAGACGTAGAACGCTCTAAACCGTTGGGTTCCAACAAAGCGACTCGATAACTTACTGGCTACGTAGAACGTAGGTCTCGGATTCAGCGTTTCGTGCGGCAATACTTGCATACATCTGAGTTCCATACTAGAACAAGAAAGCTGTCTAGTGCTTCCAGATTTCAATGTCTCGTCTCACTTCGTGGAAGACACCACATTGAGACCAGTAAAAACCCACAAACATCATAACTGGATTCAATCATCATAGAGCGATAGAAAACACAAATCAGCTTCATTCCGAATATGATTTCAGTGTCATTTTTACCAGCGGATCTCAGGAAACATGTATTGTGACAGCTTCATTCACAAGATATACACCACTCTATAACAATGGTACTTGTTTTCACTTTTACACTTTATTAACTCTACTTCCTACATTTTGTATTGAAGTAGTCTCGTTAAAAATGTATTTGACAGAAGTGTAATAGTCTGTGATCAATTCATCACTCATATTTTAATTCAATATACATCAGAAGTTCTTCACTTATTGACACAAACAGTTAAATGCTACTCATGAATGCGGTTTTGGTTACAATGACTTATGATTAGCATAGATGGTAACAGGAAATTTTGAATCTTGCATATTCTGTGATTCAACAGTTGTCAACTGAAGGGAAGGAATTCGACATGTATTTATCTGGACCAAGAAATTTTCATCCACCAGTCCATATGATTGGTTGATGGGTGAGCGAATTCATTCATCGTTTGACAGTACTCCTCTGAATAGTAGTCGTTTGATAATCAGCTAATCGAATACAATATTTATTGTTATATCTCACTTCTTGTAATGTCATAATACGTTTGTTATTGTCACATTCTCGTTCGATAAGGTGAACATCTTCTTTGAGTTATATCACACCACATTTAATTACACTCCTTCGAGTCAATAGTGAATGCGTTTAATTGCCTTTGTTGAATAGGTGTGTGCAGTGAAATCACGTGTGCATAGTTAAACAGTCAGATATCAGGTAACTGTCTATCTCTTCGAATGACTTGTATACATTGAGAATATCTTTGTCACACGTTTCATTGTGATTTGAGGATTGAGGGTATTCATGTAAATTGTATTCAGTTGTTGAGGCGTGTATTTCACTGTCATAAAATGTATGACTCAAACGTTTTAAGTATCGAAGTGTACAAAGGTGATTTATTTTGTAATACAATTTGTGCATTTAATATTGAGAATTACTGGCAATTCCTCAAAAACATATACCATAAATGATCAAACAAAAAAAGATTTTTTGAATCTGTAGTCTCGTTATTATGTCTTCTTATCGAATTCGTTCAGGCTTTTATCCAAGAGTCATCAGTTTAATTAGTGAAACTTCTAGTATTATTGGTTGTATTACACCGTTGTTGATTGGACCGAATTGGTCGGTCTCTATTGCCATATGGGCTCCTGTTCGGATACCTCTATATTACCTGTGTCTTAATTATAGTAATGATACATAGTGGCTAGTAGTAAAACCCAGGATGCGCATTTCGTCCTATTTGGGACTCGTCGGTTGCATGTACCTGCCTCCCAGTGAGTGATGCTGTTCCCATCGGGATTCGAGCTCGGGACGACGGCAGGCTGACGAGTCCCAAATAGGACGAAATGCTCATCCTGGATTCCACTGCTAGCCACTGTGCATGAAAATTTCTGCTTGTACAAAGGTAGTGAGAAAACATTAATGTTGTTTACAAGACTATTGAATGGATGAAAATCAAAAACCATGACTCTACGACTAGTGATGAAGTATGCAGACAGTTTTTAGTGAAAACCTAAAGTGTATATATATATATATATATATATATATATATATATTCATTGTGATAGTTCAATTGCCAGGTGTCTCGCTTACATATATATCTGAGTGAATTTATGTTAGCATTGTAATTCACACTGGTCTGTTACCAGAAACGTTTCAGAAGGAAAGAGAAAAACGTCGTTATTTACTTTTCATCATAACATAATTACAGGTTAGTAAATCATCTGAGCAAAGCGATAATTTTTAAGAGCTGTTATCACTTTAAATATAATCAAAGGTTACTTGTAATCTTGGTTACGCGTTTTTTTTTTATATTATAACCTCATTGTGGCATATTAAAGTCAAGATTTCTAATGGAAAGTTGAAGTCATTCTGTCTTCTATTTCCTTCCTTATTCCTACACTCATGTAGTTCATGTTAATTTTATCTCTTGAAAGTCCCAACAGAAAACTACGCAATATTCCACCGAAATAAATTATCGCTTCTCGCTGTGGTCGAAATTTAGCTATGTTACTTGAAGGATTCTTTATCACAAAATTACTGCTTTTTTTTTATATCAATAAATCATATATGTCTATCTGTCTGGTTTCATATAGATGCTTATATGGATATATTAAGCTTTATTCTACATATATCTATGTATTCGTGTTGATTTTCTTCTTTTCTATTCAAAATTCTCTTTCCAAGCTCATTTGAGTACAAGTGGTCTACATAATTTTTAACTGCTATATGAAAATTGCATAGTCATGTTGACTGAAGACCTTTATAGATACTTCGACTGGTTACTGGAGAGCGACAAGTTTTATATTGGCTATTAAAGAGTGCTGACAGAATTTCGTCTGTCATTTTGCAATGTGGCCACCAGGATAAGAGGCTCAGCGTAGCCATGCACGTCGATAGATTTCAGTTGGTGTAAGGTGACTGGCAGGAAGTTTCTTAATCTAAGTTTAGTAGCTTGTTAGCACTCATAAACAAGGCGTATCTGCAATATCAAGGAGGGTGATTTTACTTGTGACATCCAAAGTCATGTTGCCCAGAGTTGCGATCAACGAAGTTATCACTTAGCCATTCGGATCGCGATCAACCTACTGTAGGACTGGATGAGATACAGTAATTGGTCATTGAGCGGTTACCAGTTTCATGTCGTCTAGTCGTGAGTGCTTATCACCTTCTTTCAATCATTTTGCGACCTAGATAGCTCAGTGGTAACTTTGCTCACTGCAAAACTGCTTCAAATCTCAGATGGAACATCAGCTTCTTTGACGTTGCAGATACGCTTGGTAACAGGTACCAAAAAGCACTAAACTCATATGAAGCAGAGCTTCCTGGTGATTGCCACCGACCAACTGTTGTCTTTTTAGATGTCTGACTGAATGTCTTAAAGATAAAACCTTTACTTAAACCTTACTTAATTTGAAGTAGCATGTTATTTTCACCTGAAGTGTGGAAAAGTTAATCGTGTTAAGTGAAGAAAATAACTTTTCAATGTTTGAATAAGAAAGCTTTAAATACGAAAAGATGTCTAGTTAGCTATGAATTAAATTAAAGATTCCATTGGCTTCAATAACATATACACAAACATGATACGGAAAACATGACTGTAAAGTGTTTTTTTTCATGTGATGAAAGTATGTCAGATCATAAATCAATAAGTTTCTGAGTAATGTATTCTGTTTTGCAACAAAGTGTATTATCGAATATTCATTTAGTAACTTTTAAATTTTTTTAGTGTACATTTTAGTATGACCTAAACGCTTTGGAGGTGGGTCATTTTTTCTAATGTAATGTCGTATGTAATGTATGTAATGTCGTATGAACAAGAAAAAGCTTCGCTTAAACTGAGTTAGTCTACCACTGTATGACCTCTTCTACTCAAATGTACAAATTTGACACTACCGTAATATTTATCAAGTTGGTATTCATCATAGACTGATATCAGTTAGAGGAACACTGGGGACCTGGAAGTAATGGACAGCTCTTTCGCCCTAGTACGAAACTCTTCGACAGTGCATACTCATGACACCGACAGCGATCGAACTCAAGACCTTCCAGTTCCGTGGCCAGCACGTTAAAACTAAGCTGCTGGGTCGGAATCCAATAGTCCATATTTCTTGGTGGAGTCATAGGTTTGCATTGCTGAAGAGTCCCATATTAGAACGAAACAGATGTCCAGTGCTCCCAGGTTTCCAATCTTAATCCAACAGATGCCTTTCCACGATAAATACCAACTTAGAAAATCAGTTAACCCCCATAAACCCCCAAATTCAACTACCGTAATAGGTCAGCATATATTATTATTATTTTTCCCTTGGGTTCCTAGTGAAACATAGGGCTTCAGTAGCACGTCTCCATTTCACTCTCTTCTCTGCAGTCTTTTGGAACTGGCGCAACGACTGCCCACAAGCTTTCATTTCTTCCTCACATCATCTTCTCCATATCACCCTCACCAAGGACGCCAAACTCATCACTTCTCCTTTGGATTCCACTCGAGAGTCTGGCCTGACGCGTGATGTCCCCAATCGGCCCTCTCAGTGTATGCCCAATCCAATCCACCTCCACTTCCTTCCAGTGCATATTTGTTGAGCGATAGCTTCTTGGTTGGTTCGTTGACAGCCAGCCAGTCAGCCAGCCAGCCAGAGTTCCTTGTTGCTTATTACTTCTGGCAATCCATCTGGTCTTCAGTAACGAGCCAGCGTAGGCAGTTGTTGATGAATGTCTGTAGTTTGTTGGAAATGCCTGTCATAACGCACCAAGTCTCTTAACCATCACATAGAAGCACTGACTTGACTGAATTGGTGTTGAAAATCTGGATGTTGTTCATGTTTGTGCTGAGTGTAGTAGATCTTCATACTGATTTCAGATTAGTGAACGCCTGTCTTGCTGTCTTTCCGATCCTGTCTGGCTTTGACATCCTCGTCTGTGCCTGTGGTGCCTGTAGTTGAAGCGATGTTGCCTCCTAGGTAGGTAGGTGAAAGAGACAACTTGCTTTAAGTTTCTCCTGTTAATGGTGAGTGGAGCTAGTTTTTGTTGTTGGTGGCGTTTGTTGGGTATCTTCATCACCTCTGTCTTCTCTACGTTCACTTGAAGTCCCATTTTCGCTGCCCTGCATCACTTCTTCTGTCAACTTGTTATTTTCTGCGTGTAGATCTTCGAGTTTGTGCGACAAGACATTAGACATAAATCATCATCGTTGGCGAAATCCGAATCTTCTATGGTCTCTTCATCGGTCCAGCCAGCTTATGTCCATCTTCTCACTCCTTGTGGTTAGCTGCATGATCCAGTTGAGTTGACCACAATCGGGAAGATAATCGTTGATAGTAGATAGCTTTGTCTTAATCCTGTCTTCACTTCAAAGGCGTCTCTGAGCTTTCCATTTTGGATCACTTGGCATGTGGCCTTTTGATATAGCTGTTGAATGAGGTTGATAAAGGTTTGTGGCACTGAAACCGTAGTGTTGAATCAAGTGCCAAAAGGTCCACATGGAAAGATGGAGCATTGGATTTCGAACCAGTGGCTGGATGGTAACGTGTTGGCTATGGAACCAGAAGGGCGTAGGTTCAGTCTGGTGGGGTCGCGAGTGCGCACTGCTGAAGTGTTATGTACTAGAATGAACGAGCTGTCCAGTGCTTCCAGGTTTCCAAAATACCTACAACTGATATGAGCCCATAATGAATACTGCATCATTGTGTGTTATAAATCAATTAAACAAATTCAGTATGGAATTAAACTGCATAATAGTGCTCATGTTTCTTCTATATTAAAAATTGATTATCGACTTACTTCAACACTACATTGATCCTAATTCAGATGTTATTAATTTGATACCGGTCAGTGGTAGCACCTGTGTGCAATTACTTTGTTGTTTTACTTTTGAGAATTTATTTACTTAAAATCATTTTTGTAACTCATACATTTACAAATTTCAAATTTATTTTACTTATTTCTGTTTATTAAAGGTGGACCAGGAAGTGGTAAAGGTACACAGTGCGAGAAATTGGTTCAAAAGTTTCATTTCAACCATTTGTCAAGTGGAGATCTTTTACGCGCTGAAGTTCAATCGAATTCTTCTAGAGGTCAACAATTAAAAGATATAATGGAAAAGGGAGAATTAGTCTCTTTGGTAAGACTCAATTTTTTAACTCAATCTCTGGTTACGTAGTATAGATCTTTATTTTCTGTTTGAGAAAAGGTATTTTTGGCTATTTTTTTCACCCGGGGACCAAGTAACTGATTGTAAGCCTTTCTATCTATAAACTCCTAGGTTAGATGACATCTGTTATATAGAGCGACTTTAAAGGCCACCCTAGCAACAACTAAGAAAACCAATCAGACTACTCTGTTTTTTGATTATTTGCCTTTCCAGTCGAAATGAAGAAACTTAGAAGTAGTATTCATCGTGGACTGACATTAGTTGGGGAACCGTTGAAAATCTGAGAGCACTGGACAGCTGTTTCGTCCTAGTATGGGACTCCTCAGCAGTACGCACCCACTACCCGGCTAGTGATCGAACTCAGGACCTTCAGGTTTCATGGTGAACGTGCTAACCATTCAGCCACTTAATTATTTATTTCGATCATTGGTGGGGTGGCCTTTAAAGTTGGGTGTTATTAACACTCTAAAACTTGTTTTTCTTACTTTTAGACGCTGTCGCTCTTGCACATTATTATCATCAACTAAATAGCTACCATAAATAAGCGAGTAGTGATGAGAAATCTTGTTTCTACTCCGTAGCTTCTCAACTATGAACGCGCATACTTAGGCATAAGAATATAGATAAATCTTTCACATTCGGACTTTAGCCTAAATATTTGGTAAATATTACTAGTCATGATGTTAAGTAAAGAGTTCTGATAATAATAATGATAATAATAATACTAATAATACTATTAATAATAATAATGGCAGGTTTATTCCCTATAATATGGCTGATACAGCATGAAATCCTTAGCATGTAATAAATTATAAAAATTACTACCAAAACAATATGGCATCTGAATGCTGTTTATAGTAACAACATTAAAGGTTATTTGGCGAAGTAGCTGGTTGGTGTTTAATTACTACCCGTTGTTTAGTGATGGTGGTAATGGTTCATTCAGCCAGTAGAAGAATGCGCTCTTCAAGTTAGAAATACGAGGAATAGAAATAATGATGTGCTTTTGTGTATTGAAAAGTCGATTTCCCTTTAACATGACAATTTTCCTTCGCTTTGTTATTAATTCGAAATATGGTTGGTTATTTGGGAAATTTTTAAAATTCCACTAGAGTACGCGATATGTTAGGAAGGTATATTTAAAAGATTAAAACTATTTGAAAGGGAGGAATTTGATATAGTATATTTGCTGGAAAATTTTGTTGATAGACTAAATTGATCAATCAGGCCGCTATTTGCGTTTGTTCGATTACATTGTCTAACATTCTTCATTGGATTTCGTCAATATTCTCAGACGAATCTTTAGGTTATGGTGTAGTAATCTACAATAGACAGTTAAACAGATTTTAATAAAGTAGATTTCTACTAGGTGATGATTGAAGGTGAGATGAAAATCTGGACCGCAGCCGGATTCGAACCAGTAACCACAGGGTTCCCGGCCCAGTGCCCTACGAACTTAGCTACTAGGTCCGACTGCTGACCAGAATTTTATTTCATTTCAATCACCAAGGGTTTCACACGACTATCATGTGAATCCGTGACGCGTTACTGATTGAAGTGAAATAAAATTCTAGTCAGTAGATGGACCATGACGATAACCCGGTGGTCGCTGGTTCGAATCCGGCCGTGGTCCAGATTTTCATCTCACCTCCAATCTTCACCCAGTACAAATACTAGTCTGACAAACTGCGGCTATCTCAGATAGTCAAATCATAATTAATATGATGCTCCTCCTCTCTGATACAGTTAGATTGGGATTGGGATGAGAAGTCGTGACTAGGCAACCAGTGTGAATACGATCAAGTGACAGTAACGCGTTACTGATTCACATGGTAGTCGGGCAAAACACATGGGGATTGAAGGGAAATAAAAATGTGGTCAGCAGTTGGACGTCGCAGGTCTGCTGGTAGAGCACCGGGCAGGTAACCCATTGGTCGCTGGTTCGAACCCAGTCGCGGTCCAGATTTTCATCTCACCTTCAATCATCACCCAGTACAAATACTAGTCTGACAAACTACGGCTATCTTAGACAGTCAAACCATAACGTAGATTTCGATAACTTTTTGTATTAATGACCAAACATAGATTCTGTTTTAATTGTAATCTACATCTGAAATCTTTCCGTTATATCGTTTCAGTCATTGTTATGTATCATGTAGAATAGATCAATTTTGTGTAAATATGTTTGCTAATAATGATTAACCGATTTAATCAAATAAATAGATTAAATTAGATAACCTAACTACACTTTGCTTGAGTTATTTTAAGGGTTATAGAAAAAGTCAGAATATGTATGTATGTATGTCTCATGAACCGTGTATTGGTCTGCATGATATTTACTGATTAAGTCCAGTTATCTAGGAGTTAAAGGTATTAATAATACTATTACTAGGAAATTAAATGGACTCTTAGGATTCTGTCTTTCTTCATACAAATAGAAATACAATTCACTTCTTTTAACAACAATCAAATCAACACCTTTTTCCTGTGTTTTTCTTTTTATGATTCATTGAACAGATTAAGTAAAAGCAGTCACTGGTAGACCACATTTTGTTCACTTACTAGTAATTTCTCCCAACTCTTTTCTATCATATAGTGATAGTAATTTATCAATTAAAATATTATTTATTTCCAATAGTCTAGAAACTATTCAACTAAACGTCAGGTATAAAATCAGAAGTAGTATAGATCAAATTAAAAATAAGTATTTTCATGATAAAATCTATTCAACTGATCAATTGTTACTATTTAAAACAAAAAGATGTAAGAAGCGATATTTTCAATCACATGTTATTTTTTCTATCTTTCAATATACTAGTGTTTTCATTGTAAAGAAGAAGTAGACGTTTGAATAGAATGCTAAACTATAGCATGATGCTTAGGCATAAATCCATACAGTGGTGGTAAAGAAATAGTGATAAACGCTTATTCTTTTAATTAGCAGTCAATAATTCAGTATGGTTTTAAATATTAAATTTTGTTTAAAACAATTAGTTCCCTTTATAAACTTCGACAAAACAATAAGAAGACGTAAATTGTCTGAACCGTGTAATGTATTTGCGCAACACATTTCGAACTATCTGATCACACACGTACTTGTCATAGGTATTTATATAAAAACTCATGAAGATAAGGGGTGAGAAAATAAAAAGGGGTCAGGTAGGAAGGCTGACTTAAAGGCCGAATAACAATGAAAATCAATAGAGCGAAAAAATAATAGTACATCGAACTTGGTTTTTCAATAGTTGAATTTACCAAGGAAGGTTTAATGTGACAACAAATTGTTTATGAATACATAAAGGTGGTTTCAACTTCCTAATAGCTAAGGCTTCAACAAATTTCAGGATCCCTCCCCAACATGTTTTGTAAATAGGTGTAAAGGAAGTAGCCACATCAATCTTGTGACCTGTCTCAACGATATGTTTAGCGATCGAAGAACTTGGACGTCTGCTACCAACATTTATAGGTTCAGGTGATTTAATTTGCTTCTGAAGCCACTTTGGAATATGTTCCGAGGCCCTTACTTGCATGGATCTATTAGTCCTCCCTATGTATGTGTCACCACACGTACATTTGAATTGGTAGATACAATGGGATGTGACATTATCGTTCACATGCTGTGGGGGTTTGGGGGAATATAAGGGCTTCGTGGTTTCGATTACTCGAACCCTGGCTGCATAGTAAGTCCTTCTAACAGCAGCGTTAAGTCTCTGCTTAAGGATTGCACTCTGAGAGTCACCTTTGTACGGAAGGCTGATGAAGACATCCTTCTTTGGGACTGACTGCAGTTCTAGTTTTGACGCTCTGCTGATTTTGTTCTGCCTGATAAATGTTGATGGATAGTTATTTTCCAACAAAATATCGGTCAGTGTTCCTCTTTCATCTTCTAAAGTATCCTCGGTGCATATTCGTTGAATTCTGCTGAATAAGCACCTTACTAACGTTCGCTTGTACTGAACTGGGCAAAAGCTATGGTAATTCAGATATTGCCCTGTCCATGTAGGTTTTCTGTAGATAGATCGTTTTATGGATCCATCCTGCCTTCGACTAATTAATATATCTAGGAACGGCAAGCAGTCATCTTCCTCTCTTACACATGTCAAAGATATGCTGTTCTGTACTTCGTTCAGTCGGTTTAGAATTGAAGTAGCCTGATTTGAGTTTTCACAAATAATCAGGATATCGTCAACATATCTTCGATACAGATGGGCTTGGTCTATTAAGTTCTCGGCTAAGTTCTCAACGTGTGACATAAATATGTCGGCTAGGAGGGGACCTAAAGGACTTCCCATAGCGACACCATCAACCTGGCGGAAATGTTCGCCCTCAAAGGTGAATTTAATATTGTTTGTACATAAAAGTAACAGCTGTTTTAGGTGATCCAAAGTAATGGGTATCGGAAACTTATGCACAGAAATATAACCACATAAAATGTCAATTGTCTTGACCAAAGGGACATTGGTAAATAATGAGTTAACATCAAATGAACACATAAATTTACTCTTTATGTTGACATGCTCAAGGCATTTGATTACTTCAAATGTATCTTTTAAGGAATACTTACAAAATTGCTTCTTAATGGGATCCAATAACTCCACTAGCCACTGGGCAAGCTTATGCGTTGGCGACTTACACATTGACATTATGGGACGTAAGGGGTTGTTGGGTTTATGTACTTTGGGCAAACCGTAAAGATGTGGGAATCGGGATTCAGTTGGTTTCAGTAGGGCGAATTTTTGACTGGTAATGACGTTCATTTCGAGCAGTTTCACTAGATTAGCGGTCACAGTTCCCTGTAACAATTGTACGTCTTCTGAAGAACAATCCTTAGTGAATTTATTTTCATCTTCAAGAATCGATGACATTTTACACTTATATTCGATTTTATCCATGATCACGACACCTGAGCCTTTGTCAGGTCTGAGGATAATAATATCAGGGTTCTCTCGTAGTTCCTTCATAGCTCTGAAATGTTCAGAAGTTAGAATGCTTTTCTGGTTCTGATGGCTATCACAAAACTGGTGGGCGATATCCACCATCTTGGCTTTCAGCCATCCCTGGTCCTCAATTGAAGTTGGGACGAGAGGTTTCAACTGGTTGTATAGGTTTTCAAACTGTGCATGGGTAGCCAAATCTGATGACTGCTTTCGAGGAACACAAAATTTTTGTGTGTGATCAGATAGTTCGAAATGTGTTGCGCAAATACATTACACGGTTCAGACAATTTACGTCTTCTTATTGTTTTGTCGAAATTAAATTTTGTGTTGAAATTTATTTGAACTGAGTGAAATGAGAAAAAAGAAATATTGGGCATAAAGACACTGAAAATATTCAAAGCTAGAGAAATAATAAACTTGAGTTTATTTTACCTTAAGGCTTCAACTATGAAAGCTTAACATTTTGAGGATTTGAGTCAATCAAACTATCATTATTTTAGCATATTAAATCAAATTTCAACGTTTGGAGAACATTAAATAGTTATCTTTCTCATCTTGAGCTACAAATCTTCTGTACCAGCTCAAACTTGGTTATATACATGACTAAAACTAAAAGTCTTGTTTTACAATTCTGATGATTTCTTTCTTTCCGGATACAAAATGTTTGATTGGCTTTCGCCAACTTACACCACCTGTGGCACCGCCGTGATATCTGATTGTTTACTGAGGGTCGAGTATACTGCAAAGCAGTCCGCTCTGTTCTACTGTATGGCTGTGAAACATGGCCGTTGAAGGTGGAAGACATGAGAGGGCTTCTTCATGTGTTTGACCACCTTTGCCTTCGTAGTATACGCCGTATCATATGGTGTCACCATGTGAGTAATGCAGAAGTCAGGTGTAGAGTTTTAGGGAGAAGAGGTAAGTCGGGTGACGAAGTTGTTAACCTTCATCGACTGAGATGGTTTGGACACGTGTTACGTATGCCCAGTCGCCGATTGCCTCGTCATACAATGTTGGCTGAAGTAGGCCCAGGCTGGAAAAAGGCTCGAGGTGGCCAGACTAAAACATGGCACCAATGTATGAAGTGTTTTGCTGTTGGTTTAATCCATGTGCGGCGATGCAGACTTGGTGGTTGGGGTCCGCGTGACAAGAGGAACCAGTGGTTGGAGACTCTAGGTGATCACATGGCTGAGAACCGATGTCAGTGGCGTAGATGTATTTACACATTATCCTCATCTTAACGACGTTATACTGAATCTCACCATTTTCTCATTCTTCCTTTCTCTCTTTTCGTACTTTACATTTCTTTTGACTGAATTTTCTTATCTTCATGTTTCACCTCACTGTCTTTTTACTTGATGTACTGATATGAGGTGTGGTAACTCGAAGTGCTATGCAGTAATGCCTGGTCCTAGGTTGATGTGGATGGATGGATGGGTGATTTCTTTCCATGCAAATGATTCTGAATGTTTCGAGAATATATCAATAACCTTCTGCGCATAATAATCAGACAGTGAACGATTTTGGTAAATTTATGAAGGGATTCATCCCTAACGAATAATCTGATGCATTAGGATAGTTTTCCGTCGATACTCATAAGAAGTTTTGTAATATGGCAATGCTTCGGAAAAAATTATTCCCTATGATCATAACAATACCTAAATCTAAGATTAAAATCACAGTTATTAATGACAGATAGTGGCTACCGGTGGAATTCAGGACACATGTTTCTTTCAGCTGAATGTACCTGCCTTCCGAATACCCAGGACCATCATCCATGATTGTTCTCAAAACTGAAAATACGGACAGTGTGAATGTATCTATGCAGCAGACCATTTTCTCACAATGTCGTGAAGTTACAAACTATAACATTGATGTAGTTATATTTACCGGTTCATTCAAGAGTAAATCTTCCTATATTGAGATACATCAAGACCCTTTCTCTCTTTCCATTCTACAATAATGTCTGTTTGTAACTATTTTTAGGATATTGTCCTATCCTTAATCAAAGATGCAATGGTTAAATTGGTTGATAAGAATTGTTATTTCCTTATTGATGGTTATCCACGTGAATTGGATCAAGGTGTTCGATTCGAAAAGGAAGTAAGTGAAAAACGACTATGCTGATGTGAAAATTTATTATTTATTGAACATGATATGTATTTCTTCTGTTGATACTTGTAATTCCCCGTTGTTATATTGGGTCGAATATCTCGACATATGGATTCCCATGTGAATTTGTCGACATTACATCTTGATGTGTAATTTATTCATAAATCACAGCAAGGTGAGAAGAACACAAGTAAGTGAAATATACTTCTAAAGTTTCAAACTATAATTTCTTCAGAAATAGAAATATTCAAAAAAACAGTATATAGTCTACCTGACGTCATGATATACATCACAACAGCTAGGAGACATGCACCGTTGATTGATATAAGCAGATGTGATGTACTCAAGCAAATTCTTATACTGAGCTAATTCTAACATTGGATAGGGGTTTCATTACCAAGAGGTCGAGTTATTCGACAGTATACTCAGACGAACTAAGCTTTGAGGCTTCATATAACTCTTTCTCATCATAATCTTGAAGAGTGCAACAAAAACACGTACAACAGGATAGTATGAGCTCACTATGAATTGGTTCGAAACCATTCTAACTTGTCTGTAATATAACTAATATAAGAAAGTTTGCAATCCAAAAACAGGAATATGGTTTTACTCAACCTGACACCAAAATTTATGAAAAAATCAACCAGTGACATTTTTAAAAGTTACTTTGATTATTTGTCCAATGTGTTCCTAGTGGTACATAGGGATTCAGTAACACGTCACCATTTCACCCCCCCCCCCTCCTCTCTACACTCTTTACAACCCAGATACACGACTACCCACAAGCTTTCATTTCTTCCTCACACCATCTCCTCTATGTCACACTCGCCGAAGACGCCCAACTAGCCGTTTACCACCCAGGTTCCACTCGAGTGCCCGGAATAGCCTCGACTGGCACAGGATGTCACCAAACCGTCTTCTCACTGTATCTCCAATCCAATCCAATCCATCTCCACATTCTTCTGCATATTGGTTGGCCGACGGGTTCTTGGTTGATTGGTTGGTTCGTTGTCATCCACAGTTCCTTTTTACTTGTTCCTAATTCTTATTATTCTGGCCATCTGATCTGTCATCTTCAGCATCGGGTGAGTGTAGGCAGCAGCAGCTGTTGATGATGAATGTCTGCAGTTTGTTGAAGCGCTGACTTACTTAACTGAATTAGTGTTGAAAATCGAGATGGTGTTCATGCTGTATGGGGTGGAGTGCAGTGCAGTAAATGTCCACACTGATTATTTCAGATTAATGCAGGAATGCCTGTCTTGCTGTATTTCCGATCCTGGCTTTCTCATCCTCATCTGTCCCACTACCACCACCTGTAGTTGAAACGATATTGCCATGCCTAGGCAAGTAGGTGAAAGAGACAACTTCCTTTCGACTTCTCTTCTTGATGGTGACTAGTGCTTGTTGTTGTTGTGGTTGTTGGTTGAGTATCTTCATCACCTCTGTCTTCTCTACGTTCACCTGAATGAAGTCCCGTCTTCCTTCCCACCAACTTGTTAGATTTCGCCAGTAGATCTTCAAGCTTTTGCAACATCAGACATAAACCATCATGGACGAAATCCAAATCTTCTAGTGTCTTTCCATTGGTGAAACAGCATGTGCCCATCTTCTCACTCCTCACAGTTGTTTGTTGCATGATCCAGTCCAGTTCAGTGGACCACAATCAGGAAGATCATCGGTGACGATACTAGGCAATCTTGTCTTTCTCCTGTCCTCTCTCTCCATTTCGAAGGCATCACTGAACTGAGCTTTACATTGTGAATCACTTGGCATGTAGCCTCATCATATAGCATGTAGTTAGTTGTTGAATGAGGCTGATAAGGGTTTGTGGCAATGAAACCGTAGTGTTGAAGCAGCTGCCTGACAAATTGCTTCCTGGTCAATGCTATAGAATACCGCTTGAAAATCTATGTAGTTGAGGTAGTGATCCAGCTGACTACCATTATATGCTCTGTTCTATGAGGATGTGTAGCGAAGCGTTGTAATTTGATGCGCACATAATTTGTTTTTTCTTGAAGCCGACCAACCATCCTGCTCCAGTAGTATTTTTGAATCCACAGCATTTCTTAGTCTCTTTAGGATGATGTGGCCTAATATTTTGCTTTGGGTGGATAGGAGTGGAGCATGATTCCACGCCAGTTCTTGCAAAGACTTAGGTTGCTCTTCTTTGGAAGTTTGACAAAGTAGCCCTTCTTTCAGTCGATAGGCAGGTATCTTTCCTTCCTTCCTTCCTGTACTAGTGGTGTCAGCATGTTTGCTGATGTCTCTGCATCTGTTTTCAGTGCTACTGGAGGAATTCCATCTGGTCCTGTTGCTTTCTCGCATTTTAGTGTCTTTATGGCATTCAAGACTTCACTTCTGTTTTTGTCGGAGTGTCTGTGTTCAACCAGTGACTTAGCTAATGGATTAGTTTGGTATTTCAAGTAGAGACGATCGTTTGAAATGAGAGAGGAAGATTGTTTATAGGATTGTTAGGTGAATATTGTTGAAAAAGCTGGATAAGGTGATATACAGAAATATTAATTGGCTAAAAAGGGAAAATAATTAGCACACTGTGTACCTATGAAATCGTTATGAATTTATGAAAGCTTGAAGAGTAATATGAGCAGTGACCTGAGGAAAAGTTGAATTTAAAACAGAATAAAAATAAAGAAGACAGAATGACATAACGAGGTTTGCATATATTTCACTGTTATGAAAAATTGACAATTGTATCTTTCTTCTGGCCATCTGGCAGCTACTGTTTCGGCATAACGTAATACTTTTGAGTTTTCCGTCTGTTAACCACTGAACGATTTAAATCTGACCATTCAGCGACACGTGGTCACGCTTTTCAATGTGTAAATTCTTTCAAATGTGTTCATGAATGTGAACAAAACCCTCCTCACTGTCTTGGATGTAACACTAGGGAGAAATTTTTTCTCACTTTCGTCTACTAAAACGTTTAGTAAGAAGGAATAAGCTTGGCAGCCTTCCATCCAAAGCAGTACTCTATCGGCAGTCAATCCCAGCAGTAATTTCATTGTCTTTAAATGGAGTTGTTACAAAACAAGCTTCTGAATTATTTCGCTCTCTGTTCTTTTCTTATTTGACTTCCCACATTCAACAATGAACCTCTACTTATAACCAATATTATGCAAACATTTTTCAACAATAGATACATCTTCCTCACCTTTTTCTTTTAAGCACAGTTTCTACGTATAGTTGTACAACATTCTAACCAACTGCTTTTGTAGTACATATGGCAAATAGCTTTTAAAGTTCACATAAAGTTCGCTATGAATTTCCTTTATATGAATACATCTTTGAAGATTTCCATCTATTATCAGTTAGCCTATGTGTTCAAATTACCCCTCATCTCGTTACCCACTTAAACGAATTACTGGTAGGTAGAATCACATCAGATTTTTGAAAAAAATTGATTGCTTGTTCTAAACCAATTATTAGTGCTAGAAATAATGTCCTTTTGGTATAATTTTGATAAAGTTATTGTTCAGAAAGTATTGATTACAACAAATCTTGTCTTATTTTAGTCTGATGATGAAATTGTAATTAGATTGGATAACATTTTTCTAGAGTTTCAGTTCAATTCAGCTCTTTATCATTTCTCCTAATTAGTCAAATTCATCGCATAACCGAGTTTTGTTTTTTACTACAAGTAATTTCGAGGTTATTTTCGTTTGAAACTATCAGCCTAAAGAGAGGTTTTTACCGAATGTTTCTGACAATTAGTGAAACGAAATGCACTCGGTTACATTATGTTAATTTTTGCAATAGACAATCAGCTATCCTTCGGTAGATGGGGCGGGGTCGGAGCCCGTGACCTACTGGTTGATAGTCATTTCGCCAAACCACTGAGCCACAGTTCCATATTTGAGTTAAGCATGCCTTATTTGAGTATATTATGATTTTAATAACTATGTTTAGTGATATTTACCTGGCTGAAGGTCAGCGCTTGTTTATCGCTATTCGCAGTCCACGGTTATATTACCGTCATCATCTTGGATATCTCATCACAACTGTTCACTTTATTATGTTGAACACAAAAAAATTTTACTTGTAGGATGACATGAAATCTATTTCCCCATATTTTCCACTAGCAACACTTATTCCGTATACATTTTTAGCTCATTTTAGGCTGAAATTAGTCCAGATATTCGGTAGTAAAATGTTTTTATTCTGCAATACTAACGTGATTGGATCCACAAACCTTTACCAAGCTCATTCAACAACTAACTACATGCTATATGATGAGGCTACATGCCAAGTGATTCACAATGTAAAGCTCAGTTCAGTGATGCCTTCGAAATGGAGAGAGAGGACAGGAGAAAGACAAGATTGCCTAGTATCGTCACCGATGATCTTCCTGATTGTGGTCCACTGAACTGGACTGGATCATGCAACAAACAACTGTGAGGAGTGAGAAGATGGGCACATGCTGTTTCACCAATGGAAAGACACTAGAAGATTTGGATTTCGTCCATGATGGTTTATGTCTGATGTTGCAAAAGCTTGAAGATCTACTGGCGAAATCTAACAAGTTGGTGGGAAGGAAGACGGGACTTCATTCAGGTGAACGTAGAGAAGACAGAGGTGATGAAGATACTCAACCAACAACCACAACAACAACAAGCACTAGTCACCATCAAGAAGAGAAGTCGAAAGGAAGTTGTCTCTTTCACCTACTTGCCTAGGCATGGCAATATCGTTTCAACTACAGGTGGTGGTAGTGGGACAGATGAGGATGAGAAAGCCAGGATCGGAAATACAGCAAGACAGGCATTCCTGCATTAATCTGAAATAATCAGTGTGGACATTTACTGCACTGCACTCCACCCCATACAGCATGAACACCATCTCGATTTTCAACACTAATTCAGTTAAGTAAGTCAGCGCTTCAACAAACTGCAGACATTCATCATCAACAGCTGCTGCTGCCTACACTCACCCGATGCTGAAGATGACAGATCAGATGGCCAGAATAATAAGAA